AACATACAAAATGGAAATGAAATAATATATATATCGAATGTATTTATATATATATACATATATTTGTATGTGTGTGTAGCTGTACATACACATATGTAGTTTTTTGGTGTTTGGCTTAGTGTTATGTTAGAATCATTATTATACTCATACCTTTTGTTCTTTTCATATTTAGAATTGTTTTTAGCTTTATTTTTTTTAGTTTTCATTTAAATGTTTAGTTTTGAAATGTTGTTGTATGCATTTGTCATTTTTATTTAATTTATTTTATTTTATTAAATGTGTATATATATAGTATTTATAGAGTTTTAGCTTTTAGTTTTAATTACTTTTTCTTATTTGTAAGTCGCTTTGGATAAAAGCGTCTGCTAAATGACTAAAAGTAAAAAAGTAAAAGTAAAGTTATCTTGTGGGAGACGTGTGTGAGAGATTCATTTACTACTATTATACTATGTAATTATTGATTTACATTAGTTGTAAAGCATAGGCGGATGGTGCACCAACTTGGGTAAGGCTAAAAGTAGCCTAATGTTAGTGTTATCTAATTAAGGCAAGTACCAGATATATTTGTCATGAAATATTTTTAATACGTCTGAATTCATATTTAATGTTGTCACAATTTAATAAAACATTCTAAGTTACTAATTAGCATTTTTATTCATACGGTTATTCAAACAGCTAATGAATTATATACAGAAAGCAAGCAAAGAACATCATCAAATAACTATGTGACTGGCTTCAGTCTAGTGCGAGTTTAAGTGCCAAAACAAAGATCCCATAATAATAATTGAAGCTGTCTGCACTGTGAAATTAATCTCTTACTTATATCACGGTACATCTGCACTCTCGTTTATTATGAGAGAATTCACAAAAGTGCGGAATTCAGTCAGCGAGTACATGCGCTGAACAAAACTTCAGCGATGACTAATCTGAATGCCTCTGATTGGCCATTGCATTCATAAGCTAAACAGAATCTTGTGTGATTGGTTATAATGCCCAACACTGTAAAAAATGTGTCAAAAGAAATATAAAGCAGATCGCCACTTTTCATTTTCACTTTATTCGCAACAGCAGTAATAAATTTAGTTTAATTGTGTGGCCATTCGAATGATACAATGTACTTTTACTTTACGGGACCTATTTAGTCACTAAATAGAATGCGTTGGCTGGTTGTTTCCCCACTCTAGTTAGAAAATGACAGCTGTGCAAATGTATTTTTAAATGCCAATCTTTTTAGCATTTTATTATTTATTGTGGTATTGTAATTTCAGGGAAGAAAAAAAAAACATACAGACGTAAAATGCGGGACACTGATTATTACGTCTTGTGAGATGCGGGGCAAAGCTCCCAATTTCATGACTATCACCCTAAGAAGACAGTTGTTGGTTAGCAGTAAGATGGCTATAACATATACAGTCAGTAGCTAACTGGATCACGCCAAGTAGCCAAACTGTTACCCTAATTATATAACCACATTTTATAATTTATTTGATCTTTGTCTGAGGTCACTGATTTGAGACTATACAAAAATGTGACATGCTAGATGTATGCCAATAGTAAAACAAAACTAAAAAACATCTCAACTGTACGTTGAGCACGCTGTGACATAAACAAACAAACAAACAAACACCCTGGTTGACCAGTTAATCACAGAAAGACAGACACATTATACCCAGAACTACAGGCAGTTTAGAATCTCTAATTCACATGACCTGCATGTCTTCAGATTGTGAGGGAAACTGTATAGAAAACCCACAGCAACATGGGGAGAACATACAAACTTTTTATGATTTACAATTTTTGAACAGTAAAATCATATCAGTTACATTTCTGTATAGTATGTCCTTGTGCATGACGCTAAGCAGTGTTCCCTGTGAGCCTTGTCATTCTCAATCCATTCCTGCAGGTGCTCCACATAAGACATTATATTTCTCTCAGTTTATGAATAGACAAGAAGTGAATACAAATATACCTGGAAAAAAAAATCTTCTTTTGGGTGCCTTTGACAAGAATGCTCCCCAAAATATGAAGGTTTCTCTTAGATTTTCATTACTGGATTACATATTATGTAGCCCTTGCTTTTTTAAGGAGAAATGACTTGGGTAAACAAAGTGTATTACATAAAGCTATGCATTCATATATTTTCCTCACTGGACATTTACAAGATAATGCCTTAAAATGTTCAGTTAAGTTGTTTCTTAGCAAAAACAGCCACGGCGTAGATCTTTTAAAATGTTAGCAACAAAATGAATTGATTTTTTTAAATAATCATGAACAATTGTAATAGCATACAAAAACAAATACTACAATCACAAACCACAGATTATATAACAATATTTCTGTCTGTAAAACAGCTGAAAACTGTAAAACATATAGTCATGGATGAACATGAATTTAATTAAATATTGATGTACCATGTAACAAATCATCTGTAGAAAAAAATCTTTATTGTAATTAATATTATTTTAAGGTGCTGTCATCATTTTATAAAATCAATAGGCCAGTTAGGGGTGTGCATTGCAGATTTTACTGTGGTTAACTGGGGCACTCCATTAAACCAACAAGCATTCTAAAACACAGAAAGTGTTGAGTCTTTTGAACTACTGAAATAGTCACTTAGATATTCCTACTTTTTTCTTGAAAAACAGTCGAATAACTTGCTGACGTACTGTTGTCAGATTTAATCCATAAATAAGAGGATTTAAAATGGGTGGTATGAGTAGGAATTCCAGGGCCATAAAATTACGCACACCTTGTGGCAGATTCTTTGAGCCATAACGACTGTACAGTACATCAAACAAAAATGCAATAGTCACGTTGATCAGTGAAAGCAAATGTGGAACACATGTTTGTATAAATTTGCGCCTGCCCTCTATTGACTTAATGCAGTTTCGTATCAACTGAAAATAGGAGAAATATATCAATACACCATGGCCGATGTATACAAGAATAACAGTGTACCCAAACACATTATTTACTGTTGTAGAAAAGCAAGAAAGTTTTGCAACTGCCCAAATCTCACAATATAACTTTTCAATAGTAGAGCCACATAAAGTGAGTCTAGCTGTTAATACAATTAGAACAGAGATGAAAAAAATGGGGGCCAGCCAGCATAAAAGGATCCATTCAAGAACCTTCTGATTTGTCATTACTGAATGATACTCCAGTGGTCTGCATATTGCCACATACCTGTCATATGCCATTACCGTGGAAGCACTTATTGTCACACAATTCTGTTTTATATGACAACGTTTACAAGACTATAGATATGAATAAAATTAAAGAGAAGTTGCATGGTTTATGGAGTTGCCAGAAACAGGAGCAGATGTTGTACAGTGAAACATTTATCTGCAAGACTCCACATGTCCTCTGAAATATATTATTGCTGTAACATTGTTACATAAAGATGTCTACATTACATGTTGTACAGTATTATTCAAATACCAGGAAGGAGGATGACTAGCAGTCAGGTCAGCAGTGCAGGCCCCTCCTTCAGTTTCCAACAGCAGGCATATCTGCCACATCCCAATAGCACGCATTAACACCAGGCCCACAATGCAGGCACAAGCTTTTGGTTCCTAAGTATAGGTTCCTAAGTATAGCAGGGTTTCCTTTTTCTTTTTGCAATAGAATGATCATGACAAGTTCTTTATTACTGGATGAATCATTTATTGTTTACTAACCATTATGAGACAGCACACACAAAGAGCACACTACAGTATGGCAAATGGAATATTATATATAATGCAAAAGTATATTTTTAATAGAACTTTGCTCAACATTTGATGTAAGAAAAGAAAAAAAATCATGGCTGAAGTTGTTACACATTGTTTCCAATGTCCTTCTACTGGACTTACAAAAATTAGTCAAATAAGACCGTGGATAGACCTACATTCAACACCTTTGTGACACAAATACTCATGTATGCTTCACTATATTAGTGACGACATCTCATTGACTACCATCCCAGACAGCAACATAGTGTTGGCCCAGATCCGGCCCACATCTGGCCCACGTGAAAT